GGACAGTGTGAAGATGGGGTGACTGGGAGGAGGGGACAGTGTGAAGATGGGGTGACTGGGAGGGGCAGTGTGAAGATGGGATGACTGGGGGGACAGTGTGAAGATGGGATGACTGGGAGGGGCAGTGTGAAGATGGGATGACTGGGAGGGGCAGTGTGAAGATGGGATGACTGGGAGGGGCAGTGTGAAGATGGGATGACTGGGAGGGGCAGTGTGAAGATGGGATGACTGGGAGGGGCAGTGTGAAGATGGGATGACTGGGAGGGGCAGTGTGAAGATGGGATGACTGGGAGGGGCAGTGTGAAGATGGGATGACTGGGAGGGGCAGTGTGAAGATGGGATGACTGGGAGGGGCAGTGTGAAGATGGGATGACTGGGAGGGGCAGTGTGAAGATGGGATGACTGGGAGGGGCAGTGTGAAGATGGGATGACTGGGAGGGGCAGTGTGAAGATGGGATGACTGGGAGGGGCAGTGTGAAGATGGGATGACTGGGAGGGGCAGTGTGAAGATGGGATGACTGGGAGGGGCAGTGTGAAGATGGGATGACTGGGAGGGGCAGTGTGAAGATGGGATGACTGGGAGGGGCAGTGTGAAGATGGGGTGACTGGGGGGGCAGTGTGAAGATGGGATGACAACCGGGGACAATCACAGTTGAAAACAGCTATTTTCAAACTCTGAATGTTAAGTAGCCCCAAAAGCTTCCATTTGTAATTTTTTTCCCGTGACTTGTTCACTTTAATGCGTTTTCCATCTCCATCTGGGAAAGGCTTATTCACAACAGAGCTGTTTATTTTGTCAGGCGAGGTCAAAACAAACCAGGCTTAATGGTGCACACATCCATATTTCTATTGCAGATAATTTGTGTCCCTAGATTGTTATCTTACATTAAAAGGAAAACTGTCAGTTCCAACTGCCTCGCTCATGCCAAAAGTCAAATTTTCATTTTCCATGTCTCCACTTGTATTTCGAAACTTTTTTTTTAGCTCCTTGGTGGGAGTCTGCAGTAGGTAATGTGCTAATTTCTTTTCAATGCCTATAAATTTAATCGTATCGTGGTTAGAACGCTTAACATGAAATCCACCACTCTGCAGAGCCATTATCAATTGTGCGTATGTTCATGTGCTCAGGTGCAGGTTCACATATGTGTGTGCTGGGGAGCACTTGAATGTATATACCTGTATGTTCAGAGCCTACAGAAAACTGCTGGATTCACAGGCCACTGACCACCATTTCTCTGCAGATGGAATCTGTCACTGACATAGGACTTGCCCAGGAAGCCAGGCTGGCTGGCCAGAGAGCCCCAGTGGACCTACCCTTTTTAACTCCCTGGGGTTGAGATTACAAACACATGCAGTCTTGCTTGTCCTCTTTGCATGAGTTCTAGGAAAGGAACTTAAGGTCTGGTGCCTGTAAGGCAGCTGTCTCCCCCGGCCCTTCCTAGAGTTTTAATCCAGGAATCCGTTATTGATGGACATAGCTACACTGTAGTACAGTGGTGTCCAGAACTTGCTCATCTTGTCATTCAGTATCTTCCTATCTCTTACTTAGACTGGACCTCAGCAGCACCAGGCTCCTCTGACTATAAATCCATAGCTACTGTATGTGAAGCCACATAGTCTGTGGCCAGTTTATTCACCACAATTTCTTAACAGTGCTGTATGTTGTTCTATGCATCTCCTTCCACTTAAGGCTGAATAGTAGTTTGTCTACTGTGTGCACACACACACATTTGCATGCTCAGCTGTCCGCGCACTTAGGTTATCCCCATATTTTGGTTAATACTTGATTTTGGAAGTCATGATTTTCCTTGGAAATGCTTTGCTGAATTCTTTTTATCTCAGTACATTGACCATGAGGATTTCTGCTCGCTCTCTGCCTGTCTGTCTTGCTCTGTTTCTGTCTTTCTCTCTGATATGATAAAGCACATGGGGAACCTTGGTGGTGGATTCCATGACAGGCAAGGGTGACCGAGGCAGGGGAACAGACACGCCAGGCAGACAGAGCTTAAGTGAGAAGTTTTATTAGAAAGGGAAGATAGGGGAGAAACGAGGTAAAGAGACAGAGACAGAGAGGACAGAAGAGGAAAGGGAGACAGGAAAAGCCCTGTCTGTCCCGGGGCAACAACAGGAAAGAAAGTGGGCAGGGGGGGGGTCTGTCTTTTAAAGGGGTCCTTTGCACCTTTGTGCAGACTGGTAGTCATGGAACCTTGGACTGACCAGGGTACTGCCTGAGTGCATTCTGCCAGGTGACAGGGGCAGGCCAGCAGAATGCCCGAGTCCCTACACTGACTCTCAAGCTACTGACTGGAAAGCCATCATGAACCACCAAGTTTGCCATCACATGAACAACCACAGTGGCAGCTACAGAAATTTCTGTTCAATTCTCCATATTGGATGATCTTCAAATTACAGCAGAACACTGGTCTTCTCAGAGGAGACATGTGTGAGCCTTCTGAAGTCTTTCTCATGCCACACATTGCATTTGACTTCCTTCGTCAACACTGTAATTACAAACTGCAGTGCTTCCTGGTGGCTAACAAATGCAAGATGCTAACAGGAAGCTGGTAATTCATGTGAAGTGACAGTGCCAGGAAATTGACTGTGCTCAAGCCCCGATGCAAAGCTTCACACACGCATCACTGCAAAGGAAATTTAATTTTGTTTCTCAGCATCTTTCATTACGAAAGGCTCTGAACAGCCGATTATAAAAGCAAAGAACATATCAGGCGGCGTGTTCATCTGTTGCTTAGATGCATGTGTCTTACCAGGGTGCAAGGTTTGTCTCCATCTTTTTAAAATAACAGTCCGGTCAGAATTCTAGCATGTATGGGGGACGACCTCAGTATCTTAGGAGCTATTGGCCCCCAGTGGCGGCTGAGGAAGGGAGTTTTCTTGAGGGACAGGGCTCCTGGTGGGATTTCCAATGCTTCAATGGATGGCCCCACACCCATGCACATACAGGGCAGCATTAATCACACTCAGTTGTTATTATGTTTAACATACTGACAAGTTCAATTTCCCTACAGCTTTATTAACTGAATTACTTACAACCTGGGAAAATGTCAAGCCTTTCAAAGGGTAGGCGTGGCATTTCCGCACATCTGTGAGGTCTGAGGAAGAAAGCCTGCTGCCAGTGCCTTCTCTTGGCATTCTCTGATTTTGTTGTCGTCTGCATGAAATTCACTCGTGTTTTCCTTTTCTGCCTTTCTGATTATTAATTTGTTGAACTAAGCAGCCTGTGGAAGCTCAATAAGAAATACCTCATTGAAAGGGCCTGTTGGAGAAAAGGCTATCTGTATGGTTGTACCCGAATGCCATGTGCATTGGGGGACTAGCATCATTCACAATAATCGTGAAGGCTGGAGAAAGCCAGATTCAACATAAAAAGCCAGGGATGGAGGTGAATTAATATGTACAATCCCTGAGTCACACTGGCACACTATTCAGAGGCCCAGTTCCAAGCGACAGACTCTGTCTCTACCAACAAGGAGGATGGTGGCTAAGAACAGCCCCCAAGATCACTAGCATGTGTACACACACACACACACACACACACACACACACACACACACACACACAGACGTGGACACGGACAGAGACACACACTAGCATGCACGCACACAAGCATACATGCACACAAATAAAAGTATTCATAGTAACTAGGAATACATACTCACTATAAAATACTGTGAGGTTAAATCCTGGAACTTGAAATTCAGTTAATACGCAGCTTTCAGAATGCAGTGTTAAATGATGATTGACACACCCCTGTGCTGAAGTTTTGTCTCCCAGTGCCATCTGAAGGAAGATAGACCATTATTTGGTACTTCAATGATAGGTTCACTGTGACATACAGCAGTGAGTAGCCTACTGCTCAGACATCACACTTATGGTAAAGAGCTGATGTGAATCTGGGTGTCGAACACTGATATCAGCTTTCCTGACTGACCTGAGAGAAACTGGTATCGACAGTGAACCCCAAGGCAATCATGGTGCTTCATTTTTTCACTTCCAGAACTTGGGATGCAGAACCAGGACAAACATGAGTTTAAAGGGTTCTGGGGTACATTGTGAGATCCTCTCTCATAAAAAGCAAAAGCAAATACACAAAACCAAAAGAAAAATAGCAAAGCCTACTGCAAACCATATGCCCTCGGAGAATTGACCATGTCAGGGCTGTAGCCATTTATACCTAGCCATTGGGGCCTGATCACAGATTGCCACTGCCCACATGGTCTTTGCATCTTACACATTGTAGGAAATGTTGAACTTGGTGTTTCTACTATGATTTTTAATTGTAGTTCCTTTTCTCTGTTTACCTACGTACATAAATTAATTAAATTCATAATGCCACAATTCAATTACAGTCAGTCTAACGTGAGTCTCTTCGAATAATAAAAATTGTTAAGGATATCGATTCCTTCAATTTAGTGATCTAAGTTTGGAATTAAGTTTTAGAGCTTGCAAAGCAAAGATTACAGTAAAAATGAGTACCTATAAAGTATAAGTGATAGGAATATAATGGATCTGATGAAAAGAGAGAGCGAGCACTATATGAAAGACCTAGTCTTTGAGCACATCAAATATGAAAGGATTAGAAAGAATCATAAAATGTCTTTCTTACATATCCCATTTCATGAGGGAAAATGAGGTTTGAAGAGAGAGAATGATAAGATCTTAGTGGCCAGTGCCATCTCATTATTCTCTACATAAATCTTCCTGAGACTTATTAATGATAGTTGGCTAAAAACTGACTGGTGATGACATGCAGTGTTTCCTGTCACCATCTGTTTGCGTCTCATTGCCCATGGATACTGGACTGTGTGATATGTTCCTGTCACCGACAAGACCTTTATAAAGAGGGGGCACATAGGCATATGGGAACAAATGGCTTCTAGGTTATTCAAATTGATCATTGACTTATGGCTCACGGGAGCTTCCAGAAGCTCTGCTTTCAGTTTGGATACTGTGACACACTATGACTTTTCCTTGCATTCCAGTGAAACAAAAAGTCCTGCCTGCAGGATCTCCATGACACAGGACAGCAGCAGGATATCCAGGAAGAATCCCAGCCAGGGCCCTGTATTGACAGAACAGAAAAAGCCAGAGGCATTGAGCCAGGCCAACAATCCAGTGCAATGAACACTTTCAAGTAAAGATGTAAGACTAAGGAGTAGACTGCGTGACTCCCTGGACCACACTACAGATCCCACACTGAGACTTTTTTCTTCTTTTCTGTTTTGTTTGTTTTTTATTATTTTTGTTTTGTTTTGGGCTATACTTTTAAATTTTGTTTTGTTTTGATGGGAAGAGGGTGGAAGTGAGGGGATGGGTAGATGAGTGGGATCGGGATTCATGGTGTGGAATCCACAAAGAACCAATAAAAAATCAAAACAAGAGAGTTCTCTGTGTGTGTGTGTGTGTGTGTGTGTGTGTGTGTGTGTGTGTGTAAGCTCGGTAAGGAGTAACAGAGAACTTTCAAACTAACCCAGCCTAACACTGTAATCTGCTTAATCAACCTTGTCAACCTTGTCAAAAATGGACACATACCTACTCAAATCGCTCTGTATTTAGAATGGCAGCTTTCCTGGTCCCATAAAATAGCTCAAGTCACATGCATCTTGTACACATGTGATAGTATGCTTTAACTAACAACTTGGTACAAACCTAGAGTCACCTGAAAAGAGGGAACCTGAAATACAGAACTTCCTAGAACAGATTGACCATGACCATGTCTGCAAGGTACTTTCTTAACTGCTAACTGGTTGAGGAGGGCCCAGCATACTTGGGGAAATACCACCATCCCTAGGCAGATGGGCCTGATCTGTTTACTAGATGCTGTAGACAAAGGAAACTTGGCAACCCAGGGGAAGCAAGCCAGTAAGCAGAGTTCCTCTTTCAACTCTGCTTGAGTCCCCTGCCTTGGCTTCCCTGGATGATGGGCTGTAACTTTTAAGATAAAATAAACCCTTTCCTTCCCAAGGTGATTTTACTCACGGTGTTTATCACGGCATCAGAGAAGCAAAGTGGAGCAACAGGAAAGTATTCAATTTCTCAGAGTTCTCAGATCCTCATCTATATGACGTGAGTGATATAATAAGCATCATAACTTTCTAAGCTGCTAGGAGGCCCCATAAGCTGAAATGCATATTAGCTCTGGGGCTGTCCTCAGGACTTGGAAACAAGAAGATGGATAGGGAACAGGTGAACTTGGCAAAGTTGAAAAGTCAGAACTGTAAAAATTACTTCTCTGTTGCTGTGATAAAATACCAGGACCACAGTGAATTCAGAAACAAAGTGTATTTGTTTTTGACTTATGGTGCCAGAAGGAGTCCATGACAGTGGGGAAGACATGGCCACAAGGACAGAAAGCTGGATGGCCACATTTTTATCCATACCAAGGAAGAAGAGAGTGAGAGAGAAGGATGGCACAAGGCTATAAAATGCTCAAAGCCCACCCTCGGTTACTTTCTTTTTCTAGCAAGGCTCTGTATCCTAAAGATTCAATAACCTGCCCAGACAATTCTAGCAACTGGGGACCAAGTGTTCAAATATGTGAGCCTATGGAGAATGCTTCTCATTCAAACCATCGCACAAGGGTATATTTTAATGTTCTCCCATAGAGTTGCATGGTACACGTGTTATTCTTAAGCATGAACTAAGGCCACCTATGTGAAGTATGTACAACCAGAGGAAGTTGTTTAAGCCTGTAAGCCTGGAGTTTGGCTTGGAGTCTGCAACCAGGCACATGCCATCTTCATGATTGATTACTTACAGCATAAACAGCATTGTTTACACAAACTAGTCCCATTGTCACGGTGTGTTGCAAGCGTCAAACATCAATATATTCTCCACATTTTGGGGACTCTACCGAGTCCCACACCCAAGTGCCAGTACCCCACTCATCCTTACCCATAACCTTCTTAATTAGTAATTGTTATAGACTTGAAAACCATGTCACTCAGTCCAGAGAGAGTGTATACAAGTGGAAGTTCTGTGTATCACCCAGATGTTTCACGGGAATATGAACTGCAGGCCTACAAATACTCTGATCAGAACTCGATCAGCCATCTTTGATTGTGAGCTAGAAAATCAGGGCCGAGAGCCAAAGCCACAGGATGTTAATAGCCTTAGTGTCTACAGGGACACACAACACATCAGTGTGTTTTAAGGAAAGTAATAAATATATAACCTGTTTATGCCTCTTGTGTGTGTGAATGTGAGTATGTGTGTGTGTGTGTGTGTGTGTGTGTGTGTGTGTGTTGTGTATGTGTATGTATGCGAGTATGTGTATCTGTATATGTGAGTATATGTGGGTGAGTGTGTGTATGTGTGTCTGCATATGTGTGTGCATGTGTTTACATGTGTGTTCATGTGTGTTCATGTGTGTACATATGTGTCAGTGTGTGTGCATGAGTATGTGTTTGTATGTGAGTGTGTATGAGCGAGTGTGGGTGTGTGTGCATGTGTGTGGTGTGTGTGTGTAAGAGCATGTGTGTGAGTATATGGTGTGTGTGTATGTGAGTATGCGTATCTGTGTATGTGAATGTATGTGTGTATGTGTGTGTGTATGTATGTGGTATTTCTGCTGCTAAGGACAATATCTTCTGCCTTGAACAGATGAATGAATTGCTTTTTGTACAGAGCACAATGTTTTGTAAGTGGATGAATTGTCTTCCTAGTTCCACCTACCCCACCAGTGTAATTTGCTCAGTAGCCAGAATATAGACCTGAAACTTCCACACAAACCTTGAACTCCCAGCAGAGGAAATAAGGAGAGAGCATTGTGGAATCAGTGTTAGCCAATAGCTTGCTGGGGGAACAAATGCAGACAGGAGTATTCTTTCTACAGCACTGATTTACGGGGTCGTTTCTGGAGCCTCTTTACTTGCTCCCCATGCTACATATTTCTCAAATACGGAAATTGCAAATTCCACTAAGTTCAAATTGTCTCTTCTTCTGTGACTCTGTCTTCTTATCCCATCTCACCTCTCCACAACGAAACACGTCCAAACCAAAATGAATACACCTGCCAGGAAGCTGTCCATTTCTGCAACAGAGAATGGCGTAGTTTGCGTTCAACCAAAGGGAAGCAAGAAGCTATTATTATTTGCTTCCTAGCTACTTAGCTGCCACCCCCTGCTTCCCTGGGGCACAAGTCTCTCTGGAAGCTATAGGAGGAATGGGATCATTGAATACATTTGTGAAGAGAGCAGCAGCGTAAATAACTTTTCCTGACAGTTCTTGGAGAATGAGGAATCTATTTGAATACACATGCCAATGAGTACAAATGAGTGTTTATTTCCTCATATCACAAGACACACTAGCTTCTTCTGATTGAATTACACTATTGTTTCCACAGTATTCCTTGTTGCCATTTAAAAGCCCCTATGGCTTTTAACAGCCGAACACTGAGTGGCTATAGGTTAAAAAACATGGGGACTCAGTGTAGGGAGACACGGTAACCAGGCCTCCTAAGGGCTGGCTAGAGGTGTGCCTGACCACGCCTATCAAGGTGTGGTCTAGGTGAGATCAGAATGACATGGCATGAACAGTCCAGAGACGCCCATGATTGAAGTTCTGAGTCCTGACTTC